GGGGGGAAATCTCCACTCTACTACATCTTCTTCATCTGTTCGTGATTGCCGTGATGTCAGATCAACATGAATTATTATTTATGGGAAAAGCAAAACGTCAACGCCGCAACGTAACGTTGGTACCAGGATTTAACGTTGTGAGCCGTGAGCGCGCTGGCCGCGGTACTCAACCACAAATTTCTCACTTCCAACTCGCAAACATTCATGTTTTATCATATGGCACCATACTTTGTCCCCAAAAAATATTATATAGATACATTTTATGATTTCTTTTCTTTCGTTTGCAGTAAAAAATATTCTGGGCGAAGTGTGGTGCCTATGTTAGTTTGAGGGAAATATCTAGACATTTGGGGTAAATTTTAGTCAAAAGACGTAACCATGGTAATTTGTGACATGCGCAGTAAGAAAAATACGTTTTTTTTTTTCTGTCGAACATTTTGGAATATGTTTTACTAGATGTAAGCCAAGGATTTGACACATGTTATTTTGTTCTGTAACAAATTAGAAAATTTCCTAAATAACAGGCCCAAAAAATGACCCTTTGTGAATCTACTCCAAATTTGTCAGGTAAAAAACCCAGTTAACTGTTTAATTGAAATCTAATGAAATAACTTCAATAACCTTTGCGAAATTTACACACACACACAAAAGAAGAAGATATTTCCGGAAATACAATTTGTAATGCATTGATATCTAAATCGTAAATCTGAAGTCTTCTCAAATCTCAATCACATCTCAAATCTTTAGTCCCTCCCACGTCTAAAAATACAACGTTGATGATGAATATTTCCTTTTAGCATGGATTGGTATTGGTACATGGAGAAGAATTGGACATCAGCATGATCTCTTTTGAGTATAGTTGCATGGTTCATAGCATACACACTCAGACAGTACTTCTCTAATGTTTGAAATTCATTAATTAAGGAGTTTTACGCACCTGCCCCTCTGTTTCTACAGTAGTTTAGACAATTTGATATCCAAATGTTCGGCCCCAGGCATCACCGATGAGAGTACTAGAAGGACGAAACAGCTGTATGATGCACAAGATCAACTTTCGGTAAAAATGCCACCCCCAAATGATGATACGTTTATATATATCATCCTAGGGGTGGCAGAAAGTTTATCTAAACCCTTAAAATGTGCAAAATTACCCTGAATATATTAGTTTAGGTCCATATATAGCTGTAAGAAAATTCTCAGGTCCCTGTGGTGGGATGCAGTGTATTTCTTTTTTGGCATACTGTAGCATATTACCAAAATGTATAGGTGCATTATATATGTCTTACGTTCACCTTTTATTACATAAAATTGGTTTGTTACAGGTATTGGTAAAAATGAATATTTCCTTTTAGCATGGATTGGTACATGGAGATGAATTGGACATCAACATGATCTCTTTTGAGTATAGTGGTATGGTTCATAGTATACACACTCAGCCAGTACTTCTCTAGTGTTGGAAATTCATTAATTAAGGAGTTTTACGCACCTGCCCCTCTATTTCTACAGTAGTTTAGACAATTTGATATCCAAATATAATAGAGTGTGTAACAGGAATGGAAAATGCACGACCATACCGGGCTTCTAACCCGGGACTTCCGAACTCTAGACGGACGCTCCACCAATTAAGTTACCTGGTCGTCGGCGATCGATAGTCCATTTCCGCTACGCGTGCATTGGTATATACATGTTTATAGCCGGCACATCTTTTGGATATCGAATGCGGAACCGTGATATTTCAAAGACGCTGAAAACGTGGATTGGTTAGTACAGCAGTATGGATATGTATTTTACATAGTATGAAATCATGAATTGGTTTCAGGAAAAGTGTTGGATCCATGCGTTTCGATTGTAGCTGGTGGTTTGGAGGCAGAACAAGAGAGACAACTCGTAAAGGTTATTAGTACTACAGCCAATGACCGGATCTAGCGCACGAAACTGAAATTATATAATAATTGGTGATCAGAATGAGTTCACAAAAAGTGTGTAATCTTCAAAACAGAGGTTGTAATATGTTATATAAATAACATGGCTTTTCAGATCAGGTCAGCACACAAAAGCGTGTTGCTAGCAAAACAGCCAATCTCGGGAACTAGTATGTGCACCAGGAAATTTAAGGACTTGTCCGTAAAGTATTTTTGTTAAGTTGTTGAAGTGTTATACAGTTTGGTAACAAATATCAGTTTACAGGATGTATATATATATCATCGGTACATGTAGGTCTGGTCATCCAGACAGAAACGCTGAGAGCATTAATACTGCTGTTTTTCATATACATGTTTGTCCGTGTGTTACCATTGTAAGCGTAAAAATAGTTTATATCTAAATCCGTTGTTTTTACCTTCACCGACATTTAGTGAGAATATGTGTAGTACATCAGTATTGAAACATAAAACGGAGATTGATACATAAACATAATATTCGCCTCGCCCGATACAAGTTTCTTTTAGACCCAATATTTTTCCGTATTAGGTCACTAACAAACTCTGTAACGAATTTATCCCGTCGAAGGCCCTTTGGATAAAAAAAAAAACTGTTTGTTAAAATTTCATCGGCTGTCGTCTGCACAAACCGTTTGGTCGCCATCTTGTTACAAGTTGACTCTTATGGGCAAAGAACGATAACTCTTTCGTGCTCACCTAATGTGAGATTCTACTGACCTAATATGAAAATATACTGGATATCATGTGACATCGTTTTAACCAATAGGACTACAGGATTTTTGCCTGAGGCGGGTTAAATATATATATAACCAGATTGGTTCACAAACACGGATATGTACATATATATATATACTTCAATTTTCGAGTTTTGTTTCCCTAAATAAATAGGAACCATCACATTGAAAAAAATATCACACCATGAATATTGCTAAAAGCATTCAAATGTCCAACATATTAGCTTTTGTTGCATTTTTGAGACAGAATATTAAGTTAATCAACATCAATATCAATACTGGCTTTGTGGAAATGCATTGAAAACTGATTTGTGTTTTAAGTTTCATAAATGAGAAGTTTTTCTTTCACATATTAGAATTTATGAATGTTCAAAGTTGGCCTGTAGGGTTGACGGGGAGCTGTTTAAAAGCCCAAATTGAACAATATTTCAATTTATGCCGGTAAGATTTTAACAATATCTTCAGCAAAATACTGAAAAGTGCTCTAAATCATTTTCTATGCAAGTTATTCTTAGCAAAAATGCCATCTTGGTCAAGATATCTCCAAAATAATGAATGAGGTCAGGTTGATGAAAACCTCACCTGGTGCAAATTTGACTTAACCCTTAAAAATGGCTAAGTCCATGATTTTGAACAACAGAAATGTGAATATTTGTTTTGTGTTTTATCCGATTGCTAAATGGGGGGATACGTAATTTTCAATAAAATATGAAGTTGTATGAATGTTTAACTTCAAATTTATCTCACAAAAACATCCGTTTTATCATTGCTTTACTGGCAAAAACATTTGTAAATCGGACATAACCTGTGCATAAAATAAAGATTTTCGTTGTTTAGAATCATGGACTTATCCATTTTTTTTCAGTGTTGAGGCAAAATTGCATGAGATGAAGTTTTCACCATCAGAGCTTGGACACATTTGTACACTTTTTTACCAAAATAACCATGTCCAATAAGTTCTGCACATAAACAAATGGATATAAAATGCTTGTAAGCAAATATTTTACCAAAGTTTGATTCCAGGAGACTTTTTTTCCTGTTATAATACTGATAACTACCATTCCAAAAAACAAAAAATAAATTCTGCTGCAATTAGTTTGAGGTTTGGGCTGATTTGGTGTAGGTAGTTTGAGGTTTGGGCTGATTTGGTGTAGGGTGACTAGACTATACCTACATGTACAATAAGTTCTGTGCGTTAGCGGCAGTACATTATTTAAATACTAAGTTGGAATATACCAAAAGTGAAAAAATGTTGGTAAAAGACACAAGTACATGTAGGATAGACGGCTCCTAATATATATTTCTTCTCCCTGCATTCCTATGAAGCCCTTCACTATATACAATATCCCTTCTTCTAACCTTCCTCTCTTTTCTTCGTCTGCTGGAAAAACGAACTACTCGGTAGTAAAACCACTCAACAGGTAAGATTTGCAGTGATAATATGTCATTCATCTGTATCATGATTTCTTCCATGAATGTTGGGTGCTGATCATTTTATTGGTGCCATCATGATCTGATTGGGTATACGTAATATGCTATTGTTTAAAGTGATATGAAGGTCGACGTGTTACGTTCGTTAGTAGGTTGCCGTGTTGTTGTCCATGTGTGTGGTTCTCCCTATGAGAGCTGACATTACTTGGATTTGACCTAGATGTACATGGCGGGTTAATAAAGCCCTTCAGGAACACCTTTGTCAGGGCCCGGTTGTTCAAATTGTGATTAGTAAAAGGATTAAAAATTTCCAAATTTCGAGAAATTTAGAAATATTTTCGCATTGTCACTACATACCCATTTTTGAATCCTTACACGTACATGTTCAGTTTTGAATTTCAATATATTTTTAAACATAACAGTTGAAGATTTTGTGTTAAGTTGGCTTTGAACAAATGGTCCTTCTTGTACCTTTTTAAGGGTCTCCATGGAAATCTGTCCTTTGTTTATCTTGTGTCCGCAGTTTTATTAATCATAAGTTCAAATCCCTGTCTGGTCAAAGGCAGAAGAGGACAGAGCTTCTTCCCTGGCCTTGCTACATGTACATGTATACAGGGTATTTGTATCTGACAAAGGTGGGGTAATCACTGATTCTGCTGAATGTAAACTGCAGCGGTGTTTCTTGTTAAGTAAATGAGTGAGACTGCGAGAAAAATATAAGATAAACAGGCTTAAATCAATATGAAAATGTGTGCATCTATTATCATGTGGTAAAGTAGTATTCAAATGCTGTGTGAATACCAAAGGTCTCCAAAGTGTTGGAAATTACAACCGGTTTTTCTTTCATACAAAGCAGCTGATGATATAGGTTTAATACAATTTACTGTACAAAGGGAAATAACTCCTAAAATAAACAAACCTCACTAGGATATGTTTTCAATACACATGTTCATTTATTATTGAATGAATATCAACAGAATAGAACCGTTGCTTTCCAGTCAACTTTGTTAACACTGATAATGGAAATGATCTTATTAAATGTAAAGTCAAATGTATTGAATTCACAGAAACACATACATGTAGATACTGGATGAAGATATGATGTTGCCTGCAAAGCTGGGACATTCATACAAACTGTAAATGTCATAACACACAATTCAATGCATAAATATAGTACATGCAAAATGTCAAAAACCTTTATGATACCAAGCTTAAGTAGTTGGTAACGTCATTTAGAGGAAGAATACTTTGTCAGCAATTACATATTATCGTAACCAATGACATCATACAAGACAATGTTTAAGATGTACATGTATATCTCCCAAGATAATAGCAGCTCATATTATGTCTTAGTGATAATGAGGAACATTATGAGATATGTTCAGTCACTGATATAGTATGCTATGACCCTACAATCACTGATATACTATGATATGACACTACAATCACTGATATAGTATGCTATGACACTACAATCACTGATATAGTATGCTATGACCCAACAATCACTGATATAGTATGCTATGACTCTCCAATCACTGATATAGTATGCTATGACTCTCCAATCACTGATATAGTATGCTATGACCCTACACTCACTGATATAGTATGCTATGACTCTACAATCAATGATATAGTATGCTATGACCCTACAATCAGTGATATAGTATGCTATGACCCTACAATCAGTGATATAGTATGCTATGACCCTACAATCAGTGATATAGTATGCTATGACCCTACAATCACTGGTATACTATGATATGACCCTACAATCACTGACATAGTATGCTATGACCCTACAATCACTGATATACTATGCTATGACCCTACAATCACTGATATAGCATGCTATGACTCTACAATCACTGATATACTATGATATGACACTACAATCACTGATATAGTATGCTATGACTCTACAATCACTAATATAGTATGCTATGACACTACAATCACTGATATAGAATGCTATGACTCTACAATCACTGATATACTATGCTATGACTCTACAATCACTGGTATAGTATGCTATGACTCTACAATCACTGATATACTATGCTATGACTCTACAATCACTGATATAGTATTCTATGACCCTACAATCACTGATATAGTATTCTATGACTCTACAATCACTGATATACTATGATATGACACTACAATCACTGATATAGTATGCTATGACCCTACACTCACTGATATAGTATGCTATGACTCTACACTCACTGATATACTATGATATGACCCTACAATCACTGATATAGTATGCTATGACCCTCCAATCACTGATATAGTATGCTATGACTCTACAATCACTGGTATAGTATGCTATGACCCTACAATCACTGGTATACTATGATATGACCCTACAATCACTGACATAGTATGCTATGACCCTACAATCACTGATATACTATGCTATGACCCTACAATCACTGATATAGTATTCTATGACCCTACAATCACTGATATAGTATTCTATGACTCTACAATCACTGATATACTATGATATGACCCTACAATCACTGATATAGTATGCTATGACCTTACAGTCACTGATATACTATGCTTATGATCCTACAGTCACTGATATAGTATGTTATGACCCTACACCTTGTGCCAAATCATCATCTGACATATCTGTGGGCTCACTGGACACATCCATGTATTTTTCACGAACATCTTTGATCTTTTCATATTCAAACTCGGCCCCAACGGCACAGGACATCAGGGACTGAAGGTCACGCTCCTCAAGGTCACCAAACAGGTAGCCATTGGCTTTGTCCACGACCTTCATAACCCGCAGCATGCTCTCTTTCTCCTGGGAATAATCAATGAATCAATTGAGTTTCCAATCAATAAATCAATATAATTAACAATCGATAAAAAATCAATTAAGTAATCAAACAATTATAAAATAAATGAAGCAAATAGTCTGTCAATCAAACATTGAGTGTACCTGTATATGTATTTACCTGTATATGTATTCACCTGTATATGTATTCACCTGTATATGTATTTACCTGTATATGTATTCACCTGTATTCACCTGTATATGTGCCTTTATGTTATTTAACATATCTGCATTAAGTGTATGTACCTGTATGATCAATGTACCTGTATATCAAGTGAAAATTACCTGAATGTTAAACTTACCTGTATGTTCGATGTAAGTGTATATTAAGTGAAAGTACCTGTAAGTACCTGTATGTTAAACAAACCTGTATGTTTAATGTACATCTACATTTATTGTAGGTTTGTTTGTTTGATTTTGTTTAACGTCCTATTGTAGGTACCTGTATGTTAAATGTACCTGTATGTTAAGTGTACATCTACATTTAGTGCGTATACATGTGTATTAAGTGTATGTATCTGTATGTTCAATGTACCGGTATGTTAAGTGTACATCTACATTTAGTGTATGTACCTGTATGATAAGTGTACCTGTATATTAAGTGTATGTACCTGTATGTTAGATGTACCTGTATGTTAAGTGTACATCTACATTTAGTGTATGTACCTTTATGTTAAGTGTACATCTACATTTAGTGTATGTACCTGTCTGTTAAGTGTACATCTACATTTAGTGTATGTACCTTTATGTTAAGTGTACATCTACATTTAGTGTATGTACCTGCTGTATGTTAAATGTACCTGTATGTTAATTGTACCTGTATATTAAGTGTATGTACCTGTATGTTAGATGTACCTGTATGTTAAGTTTACATCTACATTTAGTGTATGTACCTGTATGTTAAGTGTACATCTACATTTAGTGTATGTACCTGTATGTTAAATGTACCTGTATGTTAAGTGTACATATACATTAAGTGTATGTACCTGTATGTTAAATGTACATCTACATTTAGTGTATGTACCTGGATGTTAAATGTACATCTACATTTAGAGTATGTACCTGTATGTTAAATGTACATCTACATTTAGTGTATGTACCTGGATGTTAAATGTACATCTACATTTAGTGTATGTACCTGCTGTATGTTAAATGTACCTGTATGTTAATTGTACCTGTATATTAAGTGTATGTACCTGTATGTTAAGTGTACATCTACATTTAGTGTATGTACCTGTATGTTAAGTGAACCTGTATATTAAGTGTATGTACCTGTATGTTAAATGTACCTGTATGTTAAGTGTACATCTACATTTAGTGTATGTACCTGAACATCGAGTGTGATGAAGGAGACAAGACTGTATTCCTCTATGATGTCTACCAGAGCTGTGTTCAGCTTCTTGTACTTATGGAACTGTGCATCATTCTGTAACACAATATACAAAAACAATATGTACAGTATACGTGTAACGCTGATTCATGATCATTGGAAAATATTTTTCAGCTGAATAATCATCAAAACGTTTACCAAATATTCAAAGAACAGATTTATGGGTGATTAAACTTGGGAGGCTACAGTCCTCATTTTGAAATAGTGTAAAATATTGACACCAGCCTTGTTTCCTACCTTGATCCATTAACAAGAAAGGCTGATAATGAATTTCCAGACCTGAATCTAAAGGTTTTTACCAATACCAAAGGGATGAAGAAATAATTCTGTCCATGCTTACCTTAAACTGATCCAGAAGGTAGGTCAGGTCAAGCACTTCTGTATAGAAGTCCAGGTTAAAAGAAAGCTTGCCATATTTTTGTATAAGATCACATTTAGACAAAACATTAACATGAGGTAGTTCAAGCTGTAGCATGGTGGACAGGGATGTTAATAGGACAGAGATAAACTTGGAAGCATCACTGCAATAATGTGAGTCTACGAGATGGACTGCCACCAGCCTGTAGTCCCATTTCTGTAGCTGGGTGACAATGTTCCTCACTGAGTTATGGTGTGTGTATAACTCCACCTGTCCAGGTAGGTCAAACAACAGGTATTTATTTCCTATTTTCTCAAGTTCCTTTTTGAGCCAGTCAATGTTTTTCTCCAGGTACTCCATGCAATATATCAGTCCACCATTGGGTCCAAGTTTTAATAATTCCATCACATCCTCAAGCTTCACCAAATCTGCGATATCCAAAGCGCATTTGAAAGGGAGATGCTCATTGGCTGGGTCTAGGTTGATAACAGCGACCTCTCTACCCAGGGAGGTGAGGAACTCGGACATGCCAAGACAGTAAGTTGTCTTCCCAGATCCTGGAGGACCAATCACAACTTGTCCGAACATTGTGATCGATGACTATAGTGTACAGAAATCTGAAAGAAGTTATTTTCATTTTATAGAATTCATGTGTACATTAGAAAAAATTACATGTACTTGTGATTGAAATTGGTTGGTTAGTATTTTAATAACAGATAAAACTGCTTAATGGCGATCTACTACTACAAATTAAACTTGTATATATGCTTGAATTGGGTGTCCAAACAGAGCAAGAGTCTAGACAGAACCAATACTACCATGGTTGTCATGGGTCATAAAAGGATTGTAGTAGGAATATAGGATGGGTAACAAGTGGTTATCACTATAGACTGAAAGAGCTTCGTCTGGGAAGGTTAATTTAAAGAACAGAATAGATAGTGCATCAAAACTGAAATAATGTCATAGCAGAGCCTTGATTTTCACCTCAGCTCTCAAAATTTGTATTGTATATATATATACTGTTGATCACTAGCCTAGCTAGTCAAAACATGTAAACCGTAAAACCACCAGAATCTAAATGTTGATGCTCTGTCCTCTATTCTCTTCTATTGTTGTTTATTATCAACATAATAAATCAACCCGGCCTCACTTTAATTAATTTAAAGATATTTTTCACAATAATGACATATTTCAATAACAGTCTATATATGGGAGCGAGTATGGATGATTGATATTTAACTTGAACTATTACCTGGCAGATACTGACAGTTGTCTACATATTATATGTACATGTCTACACAATATGGTATGGAGTATTTTTACATATGTAATAATGTTTCATCCTTTCTGATACAACTGTTGCACCCCTTGTCGGGAACACCTTTAACTCTACTCTGTTTAATGATAATGTCTAAAGCATTACAAATTACATGCAGATTCACAATCCCTTTTGGTTTCTTGTTTTAGACAGATTGTTTACATTGACATCTGCTCTATACAATGTTGACAGAACAAGATAAGGGCATTTTCAACCCAGGCATCAAGAATAATATTTGTGTCTGGCCGTTTTCTCTCTCCTGTTACAGTGGTGCCTGTGACCAACCTTTGTTTCAATAACTGGGTGAACGCATGACAAGGGGATATCCGAATCTGGGGTGTAAATAGTGTTGTTTTCTTGGGCGAAAATTACAAAAATGAGTGGGGAACTGGACTGGTTAAATCGTCGGCGACAAAGTAGCTGAATTGTTTAGTGAGGTTGTAGGTCCCTGGTTCGAATCATAGTATGGACCATTTTTTTGTGTTCCTACTTTCGAACAGAATACCCCAAAGAAACTCAGCATTATTGACGAAAACTGAAACTGAAAGTAGACAAAACAGCAGCAGACCCGAAACAAAATGTATTTTCGCTCCTACGACGAATTCTGATTTTATTCCACAAAACGAAGGAAATAATCTTTAAAATTAGCTTCTATTAATGATGACAAAATTTCATTATGTACTCACAATTACTTCAAATCCAGTTTTGTGTTTTCCAATCTCACATGTTTTTCAAACTGATCCAGATTATGCCGCTTAAGATCGTCAAAAATAATTATTATTTTAAAATATCACAAAAAAATAGTTTTGTCATTGTAATTTGCAACAAAGCTACTTGATTTATTATAGTTATTATGATCACATGCAAGCAAATTTTGTAATAATTAACGTATCGCACACTATTTCGAGGAAAATGTACAGTATCATTGAAAATAAAATCGCAATCACCAAAACGCTTAAAGAAAGAAAGAAATAAGCAAAGACTCGAAGATGGCGTTGCTTTTTACGGCGACACCGGCGTAAGTGCAATCGTTTGTGATCTTTAAACTATTTATTCATTATTCTTAATTGTATGCAACTACTTGAGTCATTGTAGATCTTGTATGAATGAAACAAAATTACAGGTACATCCTCTAGACTCCTGTGTACCCAGCGACACGCCCCCTTGTTCATGTATCTTTTTGCTTTCGCCGGTTGACTGGTAGTCCTTCATCCGAAGATTATCACCAGGTGCGCGAAAGGGAAAAATAAAGCAAAGTTTGATCGAAAGCATAGGAAATTGTGAATATAAAGGGAAAGAAGACAAGAAGGAGAGAAGAAAAAATGAAAGTAAGACGGGAGAAAGATTGAGTTTAGGTGAGGCTTCGAGACTTCTGTCTTAAAGATCTCCAGGGATTCGCCACCTCAGATCAATGTATACTCCGCCTGCGTGGAAGGCCGGAGTGTTAACCACTCGACCAATCCGCCCATCTGCTTAGCGATATGTAATCATTTTGTAAAGCGTTTGAGAATTTGCAATGTTTTACAACTGTATTCACAAGGCATAAGTATTGAATTATCTTTATTTATGCATTTAATGAATTACGTGATCATATTTTTATAAAAAAAAGTAAGAGTCATTGGTGGCCGTATTTCATTGTACAAAAAAACCCACCATTACCCGGTTTAGGTTCGGATAAGCACACAAGGTTATACGAGTCATTTTTTCTAACTGTTGCAGCCCTAATTCTTACCATATGAAGTTGTGATATGAACCAAGTTTGAGAAGGTTTAGTAAACTAAGTATACCAGTGAAATGAAGGAAAGACTCGCTGCTTTTTGTTGGAAGATACGATGATAGACCCAGAATTGAGATCATGAGCTACTCACTGTAATGTCTGCATTTCTTCCCCCAGTTTCCTCCTGTAATTAGTATTACCCATTTGTACATCCAGGTTATCACAAATCTTGTTATTAGTATAAAGTTAAAGTATGGGGTTGAGGGATATAGCAAGTTTCTGGAGTCTCGAGACCAGGTGTAATTCCCGAGGCGAAGCCGAGGGAAAAAGGCATGGTCAAGGGCCACCTCATGATTGCATTGCGGCTTGCCAATAAGGTTTCAGACCAAATCAATCTCAAGTTGTAAGTGTCGCTAATGACTCATAATTATAAGATAGCAATGGCATACTTACCAATTTTTTGAAATTTCCATGGGGAAGATTTTGCATTCTCAAGATTAAAACAGAAATAAAATGTGTGTATATATTTACTCCCTAGAGAAAAAATAACCCTTTAAAATGACAAATCTTGAGCTGTTTTTTCAGATGAATTCATCAGATCTTAGAATATAGGAATAGTTTAGCAAATTCTCTGGTTGAAAATACTAAATTTAAGAGGATTAAAATTCGGGAGTCTTCCTCCTAAATAGGGAGAGTTGGCAAGTGTGCAATTGTGACAAGAAAACAATACATTAAAGTTGACAAAATTGGTACAATTTCTCCTTCAGTCGCACAGTGCAACGTATCTCTCGATATCCAAATGATAGGACTGGAACCCACCTAGCCAGACAAAATAAATGTTAATTGGTTCTACAACTTTTGAAATACCTGCATGTTTCATAATTCAAACAATGGAATTGATTAATTTTGTGAATAATAATTAATATATGTTTAGTTCAGAAGAAACCCTGACATACGTACCACTCAAAAATTGGTTATTGTTGTTTTACAGAATCAAGAGAGCTGTTGCATCAATCAATGCCCTGGAACCATCCAAATTTCCATTACTGTTGACCAGAATCACACAAAAGCTCCATTTGAAGGTACAATAACTTATATTTTTTCTCCCTCTTAGTAGGCACATTAGTATACTATAAAAATATCACAGATGTATTGCCAAATGTATGCATGTAGTGAAGTTCAGTTTAATTTGTTGTATGATAATTTTAAAATCTTATGACATATGTAAATCTAAGACAAATATTGTCACCTCATGATTTTTTCTTCCTTTGTCTGTCAAGGTCATGTGTACTGTTCTATATATATACTTCGTAGGATGACAGAACATTCAGCGAGGAAGAGGAGACAAAGTTACAGGATGCCCTCGCACTCACAGCTGGTGACCTTGAACTTGTCCTCCAGACTCTGGAATTTTTCTTGCAACAGGTAAACAGATAAATACAATGTATTTGATAAATTCTGGCCATGTTTATCAGTGGAATGTTCACAGCACAATTGTAACATAACATACACACCACAGAACCCCAGATAATACCTGACCAATCACGAACTGAGACAGATCACTATAGTGTTATTAACACAAATTTGAAATTTCATTAAAATTACAAATATGGCATGTTCATTTATGTGAAATACGAATAAAGTATTAATCTTCCTTCGTGCAAAAGAATGGTAGAGTGCTAAAAACGAAGGCAGACATTTGTCCGTCCTCAATACTCCAGGGGTTATACCTAATAAACTCGTTTAACTCCTTCTCTGCACTCTTGGAATATGTCAAAACAAAATCCAAAGCTCAGTTTGCGCAACCTTGTGGATGAGACGAGAAGACAAGTTTGATCCTTTGATGGCCATCAAAAGAATCTCACAGTAATGTTATGATAAAATTGACTGGCTTTTAAGTCAGGGACAGGTATCAGCCTAGTGATTGGTCAGGTTCTTTTACCAAGTCCAATCAAATAGCTGGCTGAGATCATGCCTTCAATTTTACAGGGGTGCAGAGAACATAAGTGAGTGTAACAGTTGGGGTATCAAGGATGACATCGGACATGTCAATCTTAAAATTTCAATACGTGTTCTTTTATTTATGAATCTGTGACATGCTTTTTTTTTTTTTAAATGATGACAGTGAATATGCATGAAATATAATTTCTTTTCAAATTTAGCTTCTGTCACAGGAAATTAAAAGTAAACCAATATTCATGAGACTAAACCAATATAGCTCACTCTTGTTACGATGGAAAGGCTCTCATATTTCATTTGCAAAAACAAATATCTAGAAGAAAAAAAATGAGAAAGGGTTTGATATACATTGTTTTTCTGTGTTGATCAGGCCGCCTACCATGCTGCCAAGCCAGCAGTATTTACACAACAACTACAGCAGCTGGACATGGACGAAGACAAGGTCAGTATAAAATCCAGGATCTATTTTATCAAATCTGTGGAACCGTCCTCACCAGGAGTAACAGAAGTATGTTTAAGCTGAATCTAGAGTAACAGAAGTATGTTTAAGTCCACTCTTAGGTAGCAGGGATATTGTTGTGCTGACTGCTAAGTAACAGAAGTATGTTTAATTTGACCTGTGAGTAACAGGAATATTTGAGTTGACTAAAATTCCATAATTAAACGTAGGTTTAAGAGCTAACTTATGAAAAAACGTTAAAAGTCATGTACATTTCTTTTTGTTGTAAGGTGAAGACAGTTGTGGAGGCTTGGACTAGCAGTGGGAGGGAGGTAGTCCAGAGACTAAGGCAGCGAACTCTCAACCCCAAACAAGTAAGTACCCTACACAGATACATGAATCCTGAACAGGTGAGAACTCAGCACAGGTAGCTCAACCCTGAACAGGTGAGATTACACCCAGGTAACTCAACCCTGAACAGGTGAGAATACAGCACAGGTAACTCAACCCTAAACAGGTGAGAATACAGCACAGGTAACTCAACCCTAAACAGGTGAGAATACAGCACAGGTAACTCAACCCTGAACAGGTGAGAACTCAGCGCAGGTAACTCAACCCTGAACAGGTGAGAATACAACCAGGTAACTCAACCATGAACAGGTGAGAATACAGCACAGGTAACTCAACCCTAAACAGGTGAGAATACAGCACAGGTAACTCAACCCTAAACAGGTGAGAATACATCACAGGTAACTCAACCCTAAACAGGTGAGAATACAGCACAGGTAACTCAATCCTGAACAGGTGAGAATACAGCACATGTAGCTCAATCCTGAACAGGTGAGAATACAGCACAGGTAACTCAACTCAAAGCAGGTAAGTACACCCAACACAGATAACTGAATCCTGTGAGCACATGAATCATAAGTACATGTATATAGGTACATGTATCATATAATAAGTACATGTATCATATAATAAGTACATATGTATCATAAGTACATGTATCATAAGTGCATGTATCATAAGTGCATGTATCATAAGTACATGTATCATAAGTACATGTATCATAGGTACATGTATCATAAGTACATGTATCATATCATAAGTACATGTATCATATAATAAGTACATATGTATCATAAGTACATGTATCATAAGTACATATGTATCATAAGTTCATGTATCATAAGTGCATATGTATAAGTACATGTATCATAAGTACATGTATCACAAGTACATGTATCATAAGAACATGTATCATAAGTACATGTATCATAAGTGCATATGTATCATAAGTTCATGTATCATAAGTTCATAAGTACATGTATCATATCATAAGTACATGTATCATAAGTACATGTATCATAAGTACATATGTATAAGTACATGTATCATAAGTACATGTATCATAAGTACATGTATCATATCATAAGTACATGTATCAGAAGTAAATGTATCATAAGTACATATGTATAAGTACATGTATCATAAGTACATGTATCATAAGTACATGTATCATATCATAAGTACATGTATCAGAAGTAAATGTATCATAAGTACATATGTATAAGTACATGTATCATAAGTACATGTATCATAAGTACATGTATCATATCATAAGTACATGTATCAGAAGTAAATGTATCATAAGTACATATGTATAAGTACATGTATCATAAGTACATGTATCATAAGTACATGTATCATAAGTACATGTACTATATTAAGTACATGTATCATAAGTACATGTATCATAAGTACATATGGATAAGTACATGTATCATAAGTATGTATATATGTATAAGTACATGTATCATAACCCAGGGGAAAAAAAGGTACATTTGAGGTACACTTTTTGGGGTACCTAAGGCATGCCTAAGGTATACCTAAGGCATGCCTTAGGTACATTTTTTGTAAGAAAGAAAAAGAGGACAAAATAGGAGGGGTAAAAACCTGTTCAATATAGGTACATTTTAGGCACATTTAAGGCATGCCTAAAATGTGCCTTTTTTATACCTCTGACTGAGGTATACCTAAAATGTGCCTAAATCGTACCTCTGACTGAGGTATACCTTAAATGTGCCTAAATCGTACCTCTGACTGAGGTATACCTAAAATGTGCCTAAATCGTACCTCTGACTGAGGTATACCTAAAATGTGCCTAAATCGTGCCTCTGACTGAGGTACGTATACCTAAAATGTACCTAAGTGAATATGTATCAGAAGTTCATGTATCATAAGTGCACATGTATCTTAAGTACATGTATCATATCATAAGTACATGTATCATATCATAAGTACATGTATCATAAGTACATGTATCATAAGTACATGTATCATAAGTAAATATGTATAAGTACATGTATCATAAGTACATATGTATAAGTACATGTATAAGTACATATGTATAAGTACATGTATCATAAGTACATGTATCATAAGTTCATGTATCATAAGTTCATGTATCATAAGTACATCTGTATCATAAGTACATGTATCATAAGTACATATGTATAAGTACATGTATCATATATTCATGTATCATAAGTTCATGTATCATAAATACATGTATATGTATAAGTACATGTATCATATCATAAGTACATGTATCACAAGTACATGTATCACAAGTACATGTATCATAAGTACATGTATCACAAGTAAATATATCACAAGTACATGTATCATATCATAAGTACATGTATCATATCATAAGTACATGTATCATAAGTACATGTATCACAAGTACATGTATCATAAGTTCATGTATCATATCATAAGTACATGTATCATATCATAAGTACATGTATCACAAGTACATGTATCATATCATAAGTGCATGTATCACAAGTACATGTATCATATCATAAGTACATGTATCATAAGTACTTGTATCATAAGTACATGTATCATTAGTACATGTATCATAAATACATGTATCATAAGTACATGTAGCATATCATAAGTACATGTATCACAAGTATATGTATCATATCATAAGTGCATGTATCACACGTACATGTATCATATCATAAGTACATGTAGCATATCATAAGTACATGTATCATATCATAATTACATGTATCACAAGTACATGTATCATAAGTTCATGTATCATATCATAAGTACATGTACCACAAGTACATGTATCACAAGTACATGTATCACAAGTCCATGTATCATAAGTACATGTATCATAAGTGCATGTATCATAAGTACATGTATCATAAGTTCATGTATCATAAGTTCATGTATCATAAGTGCATGTATCATAAGTACATATGTATCATAAGTACATGTATCATAAGTTCATGTATCATATCATAAGTAAATGTATCATAAGTACATGTATCATATCATAATTACATGTATCACAAGTACATGTATCATAAGTTCATGTATCATATCATAAGTAAATGTATCATAAGTACATGTATCATATCATAAGTACTTGTATCATAAGTATATGTATCATATCATAAGTACATGTATGACAAGTACATGTATCATATCATAAGTGCATGTATCACAAGTACATGTATCATAAGTACATGTATCATAAGTACATGTAACTGCCCTGTATTTATCAGTTACTAACATTATTAGGTGTCATATGATGAAATATATCCATCAATCAATCAATGTTTTTTGGTGACAAAACAAAAGTACAACATTTACATAAAAGTCTGCAATGTCCTTGTGCTTTTGTAAAAAAATATAATTGCAGTGTATGAGGTTCCAAGTTTATTTATGATGATAGATGCACAAGAGTGACTGGGCAGCCCCTATCTACAAGTTGTATCTCTCCCACCCAAGGCCACGGGATTTAAAATCAGTAAAATTTCCTTTCGGGTTAGCTGTACATCAAGAAAATGTTAGAACATTAATCCCCATTTCCACAAAAGATATGGTTGATGTGATAAAAATGTTTGAATATATGTCTCAGATATTACATACCTAAATTGATCTGATTTACTTATAAGATTTAAAATCTTCACAAGTAATGAAATATATATAAATATATGTCAATATGTTTATTGTAAGAGTTGCCTCCCTTCCTACATAAAATGAAACTATCTGATAAATCTAAAGTGACTTTAGATGCTACATCACTGGAGTGATAGGGGGTTTGTAAACTAGCTTAAAAATGTGTTTAAATTAAATGTATAATTGGAATTGGATAACATGACTCTGATGCAAAGAGCATTATATATAGATACATGTCAAAAAGTGGATTTTAATTCAGGAAAAATATCAAAATTATGAGACATAAATTATTTTGATGTCAGTGACTCATTGATCACTTGTATGATACATACAGGTATCAGTCTCATTGCTAAACTTACCTGTGCCTAGGGAACTTAATCAATTATTCATTATCAATACATATATAATTGTCTAATTTACATAAAGATCACATTACCTGTAGACCGTGACCCACTAACCCAGTTACCTAATCATGTATGTAATGTTTACATACCTGTGTGTGTATGTGACAGGTGGCGCCAGTGATGATCAAGGCTGATATATTCACAGACGTAAACAAATAGACAACTTTACGTGTTTTGAAGGCTAGAATGATACTGTTAATGATAACCAGACAACGAGTAAATCCGTTAATGATTGATAACTCCAGAAGTTAAACACAGAAAAAACACTGTAGAAGGATTTATTTGATGTGATTTACAATGTATGTCATCTTTATATTTCGTTTTCAAAGCATTTAAAAATGTTAAGAACTTAAATGAAACTAATTACTTACAACACATTATTACATACCAAATGATTCAGAATACTGCTATCTGTGAAAACATCATTGTTATTTATGTTAACCCTTTCACCACTGTAGACCATAATGGACTCATCCAAGTTAATGCATGGTAGAGTCTACTAAAGTTACATAGGGGGAAAGGGTTAAATTATGAACTGGATTAGGAATAAATGTACTGAGACATTTCACTAAGGAATAGACAAGATTTCTGACAAAAACAATTATGTTGAACTGATGATTTACTGCAGGCTGCATTTTGATAAACGTTTGATTTCCAAGGTCATAACTGGTCAAGGACACTGATCTATACACACTGTGATTGATAGCAATCTTGAGATTACCCTGTAATACTGATCTATAATATGCGATGATATTTGTCAATCCAAATGAGCATTTCATTTAATTTCACCCCTGAGTCAGCAGTGATTGACAGGTGTATATGTGACCTCTGTCTTGAAGGTCATCCCCCAAAGCTTGTTGTCTGGTATATGATGATATGATAGGAGACTATTGATAGGGTAAGAACGGGTTAAGCCTTGTGTCTACACAGATTTCTATATAAAGTTACAAATTGAATGATTGCATCGTTTGATTTTGCAGGAGCTGACACTTATTTTGACATTTACTTCTTTTTTGGGGATTAAAGGTTTCATTAATGCATCATTAAAATGCTTATACAGATGTAAATCAGTTTTGATAATTATTTTATTTATAAAAACACATATACATAACTATGATCTACATTTCATCAGAAAAAAAACAGAATCACCACATATTTATTGTGTTTCAATAACCTGAAATCATTGGTGGATAGAAAAAAGGGGAATTTCATAAAATATTTTACTGCCAATACAAAAGTATATTAATAATTCAATTCATTATTAAATGATTGCCTTACCTTTGAGGAAATAATATGCATGATTACATATTTACATATATAATTACAAATGCGTATTTGTCCTTTGATATCCGTACAGGTATAACTCGCCTCAAGCTCCTGATCAGTAAAAAACGATGATATTCAAAAAAATTTCAGGGTTGGAGGCCAATATTTTAGTGAAGTTATTTTACAATCAATCATGAATGTACGGTAATAAATGCTTAATTAGTGATCACTGTTGGTGAGGCCAGACATCTTTGATGGATGTATATAGAGGTGAACGAGTACGATGATCTATATATTGAAATTATCCTACAATCGGGTGATTAGTATTCGACTTGGTGACGGTTGATCGGTCGAGGTAGTGTCTGGTGACGGTTGATCGGTCGAGATATAGTAGTGACTAGGGACATTTCGTCAAACCACAGATATTAACAAGTACTATGTTGTGTAGAGAAAGGTTGGCCAGTCCATATACATGAACTTTGGCAATTTACGAGTCTACTGAACAGACGCTGTGGCCCACAAAATTACGTTTAAACTGACTCACCATGATGAAGTAGTTTTTCAAGGGAACTACGTCAAATCATATTTTGATGTAAATTACGCATTTCCTTGTACATCATACTGTAGGTCTGTCATAATCAGTTTTGATTAATTGAATCAGTTTATATATGTATACTTATTTATATTTCAGTCCGCTATTCATAGTTTCCTTTTTACTGGTTTTGAACTACATAGATATTCATAGGTAAACTTACGAATGAGATATTTTTTTTCCTTATTTCAAAATGCTCTTGATTATAAAATTTATTTAAACATTTTATTTTTGTATTATGATAAATGGGTTATTGAGAGATTTTCTTTTAGGACACAAATTTTGATTCAAAGACAAGGTTAGACATGTTTCATAATTCAAATAATACAGTATAATATAATTTTGTATGAAATGGAAACTACGGGTAGTTCCAGACAATTAAAAACAAAAGTTACTAAAAATGAAAATGAATATTCGTTAAAATCTTGTTTTCTCTGGCTATTGCCAATTCTCAAATGTTGGATTTTTTTTACTTACTGTCCATTTCCTTTAGTGAGACAGCCATTGACATGGTCTCGTTTCTATTGTCTTAATTCTGACATCACATTTGGTGTCATTTAATTAGGTAATACACAGTAAAACCTTGTTATATTGCCACCATTTGTCCAGAAAAGTTTTGGCATTATGTAAAGGGGTTTGGCAATATATTGAGGAAAATCGAAAGTGAATTCTTTTAACGAAGCCCATGGTTCGGCAATAAATTGATGAAAAATAAAAGGGAACTCTTTTAATGAAGCCCATGGTTTGGCGATAAATTGATGAAAATTAAAAGGGAATTCTTTTAATGAAGCCCATGGTTTGGCGATAAATTGATGAAAATTAAAAAGGGAATTCTTAAGATAAAGAGAGAAAGGGACCGTGGAATGTGTTGGGATAAGCAAGGTTGCAAATAGAACAGGGGGCATTATAGGAAGCTTTTACTCTATAATCCTTTCACCACTGTAGACCATAATGGACTCATCCAGATCAGTGCATGGTAGAGTCTACTAAAGTAACATAGGGTTGAAAGGGATGAATGAGTGTATTGTCGTCATAACACAGTAATCATGTGACAAGAGAGAATATTGTACCATCACATGTAGATCTTATTATTTCACAATAAAATAAATGTTTGTTGACATGTATGTTACAGCTGGAAGATATAAACTGGCGCCTCAGCCTCCAGATGGCCCAGGCTACACAAGTCAAGATGAAGATGCCTAATGCTATGTTTGAACTAGCTGTCAAAAATGAAAATACTGATGTAAGTTTTTAAACTGTTACAGATATAATTTTCATTTTATTTTATAAAAATACTCCACTTTGTTCATCTGGATTAAGAGTGTTAAAAGTTTATTGAATGCAGTTGTTTTGTACTGTGGTTAAGTGTACTGATGTAGTTATTTTAGCATTAATGACATTTTCTTACTCTTTATACTTGGTAAGCTTGTTCATATAAACCACAATACTGACTTCTTGTAAATGGAAACAACTGACACACCGATTTTATTATCGAGCTAAAACACCAACCACTGCATTTTGTACTAGACTCAAACATGGAACGCAGACTGAGACACGGAAAGTGGGTGTATCCATGAAAACCTGCACACTACATTTGACAAAATTATTAAAAATCAGAATAATTGAAGACATATCTATAAAAATAAGTCCCGGATCTGAATGGTTTTCATGACTCAGACAAGTACCATTATAAAGTTATATGTTTAGAGCCACATCAGAAGTATTGGTTAATCTGTTCAACTTCCTGCATGTTATCTTGCCATCATTCAACTTTTAAATTTTCGTATCATAATTCATATGATAAAAAAATCAATTAATGATAAGTAGATATTGATACCAATATTTGTTTACTTGTATTTTCAGACACGAGAGAAGATAAGGATGGAATTCACTCACGATGAACTTTATAAATTCTACAACCAGGTTTGTTTGCTTCGTCAAAATTACACAGTTTAAAGTTGGAAAAAACATCGTTAATATATTGTGTCATTTGTTATGTGATCTATTTATAGATTATCATGTTATGTATTCAATAATTTCATGAAAACATTCTCAATATCATATGTTTTAAACCTCTTTAAGTGTTATTCAGGTTCTCTGATTATGGGATATATTTTAGCGTCAAGATGATGAAAGATGTTTTTTCATGTAGAGTTCATGAATAAAAACTAAATTAAATGAAAAGTATCAGATGAACAAAAAATATACAATACATAAGAAATGGTAAAACAGATATGTAGATGTATTTTCTATTATAATCTTTTCTGTCCCGAACAGCTGGAGACGATACAGAAACAGTTGGACAGTTTAAGTTGATGACCCATCAGTACAAGGAGATTCCAATAACTGCTGTGATAGGGGGGGTTAAAGGTGGTCAAGTATGTGTACCGATCCAGGGGACAGCGTCAGACCAGTATTGGACAGTGCAGTGTGTACTGACCAACAGAAATAGGATCAGGGCTGGACATTGGGATGACCAACAAAATCATCGACTGTAAGAGTTGTTCACTACACCAGAGACTTTCGGCGCCTCATGATCATTTGTATGGTTGTACAATTGTAAAAGTTTATATGCCAATTTACACAACTATGTCCTGAGTAAATCAAAGAAATCCTGTAAATATTGGTAAATAAGCTGAAGGGAATCTCTCCTGAAAAAGTTTTTTACACCATCAAATCTGTTCTGGTTTTCTTGATCAAATAACTGTGGCCCACTCGTTCTGTCCACCTAAATGGAAAGACCTGCTGTGATGGTGGCCCCTACTGTTCCAGGAGATTTCTTTATCTACAGAAGAACTGACCTTACAGTAGTGACCCACCACTGGATTTTTCATTTTACCTACATCATCATGATCATGACTCTATCGACCTGATAAAACATTCATGCTATCATAAACAATCAGGACTTACCCACATACCCCCGATGTCTGATGTCATACAGATTCTTCGTGTACAGATGACCAACATGTTAATGTGCTTGAATTCGTGAAATATTGATGACGACATAATAAATAATGAAATCTGGTGACAGACTGAGTGATAGTAGTCATAAGGTATGGAGTTGGGACCATTAAATATTGTGTTCTGAAGATTATCAGTCCCTTTTTTATGTGACTATAATGTTTTTGTCTGTGAATTAATAAATGTATAACTTTATATGACAATTATACAGTTGTCATGCAAGTGCCAATCACAATGTCTGAGTAGAGGATAGTTATTATTATAAATATTTGCTGTTTTTCTGACTTCTTGTTGCAGTCAGAGACATTCTAAAGGGCTATGAAATTTTTCCAATGACTATTTAAACATTTCATTTAGTGTGTGAGGAAATGTATTCCATAACTCAAATCTGATTTTGAGAATTATTAACATCCCAAAGTGAAGATGTTTCATGATATTGGTGTCAAGTCTGAGTATTTCATGGACCAGATATATACAGATGTCTTTTTATAAAAAAAAATATAGAGTGATAAAAATCAATCTTATATTCAATCAATATAAATGAACTTCCCTTTACAATTTGTAACTTTAGAGCTGTATTGGTAACCTACTCTCAGGTGAGATTAATAGAATCTATCACTCTTGTGTGATATAGACAGAGATATCTCAACCAGGGTGAGATATTTTTTTTAGGTTTAGCACGAGGCTGTGCCTATGGCATACCTAAAAACGGGAATGAACCTGTGAAGGGTGGGAGAAAAAACACTCCAATTAAAATAACCACTAGTCTCAAATTTTCTTACTATATTTATAAACTTAAATGTGCGCTTCATGTACAGGAGTTACTTCCCTTTGACCTAGTTCTTCATAGATTCATGAAATTAAATTTAAAAGTTACATTGTTTCAATTATTTGTTTGAAAAAAGAATATTTGAGATCAACAAACAGAACTATCGGTAAGTGAATGATATTAAGGTAGTGATATGGGTATTTAATGGGTAAAATCCGCTGGATAACAAAGCTACTCAGAGTGAATCGGATACTCAGCGTGAATCCATGTAAAACCACTCAAACAATAGATATATTAACAAACTAGGTTTATATAACTATAATGATAATTCAATACCTCATTAAAATAAAAAATAAAAATTGATACAATGTAACATTGTTTGTTGTCTTTTCCTTGAACCCCTTCCTTGTCACTTGTTCTGTAAAGTGTTATATGTCCTTAGTTTAAATTATGAATTGTGTGACCTCATTGACCTTACTTTGATTTATATTGACTTATCTGAAGAAGTTCACACACTTAACATATAAGGTGATTTGTTTTGATGAATGACATTGAATGTGTACCAGGCAAGTCAAATAAAGCTAACCATAGACTTATACGATCATGTAGATTATCATGGAATCAGGCGTCCTCAATTAATTCAGCAACTTGTTGAACAAAACGGTTTCAGGATAGGACGGAGTGCTACAGCTATTGATCACTTTATTACATGAACGTAAACTTTGACCATCCTTACTCGAAAAGATAATAAAAAGAACTATATTTCAGGCCTTCATTAACTTTGGTAAGTGTTTTTGACTGTGTATAGAGCAAACTGGAATTTACATCCACGAAAAAATGGCGTGTTGCTATAAGCTGAGATAGTGCATGATATTAAACAAGAATTCCACGGAAGTGGATGTTTCGCCTGCGCAGGAAGCTAGGAGATTGTGTTTAGCACTGCATGAAGTTTGAGTTTGATCGGCCCAAGGAAACAAGTTATCACAGGAAAACAGATGTTCTTTTTATAATAACATTGACCTTGACCTTTGACCTTCGGACCTTAAAAGCAATCCCAAGCAAGCACTTTTGGTAAGGAAGCACTGCATGAAGTTTGAGTTTGATCGACCCAATGACATAAAAACTGTCATATGTACGCTCTGAACATTATAGCTGTCTAAACTATACATCTCAGGACATCTTTATGTAATTAACCGCAGAAACCACCAGAATATTTACATGCGGAGGCATTGTTATTGGCTACGTTAATATATATTTCTACGTAGGTCTCGTGAAAATCGGTACATATGAACTACAATACTATGTCCAAAGCAGTACCAAACTTAACAAGTAACGTTTTCCCCTCGGATTAGTTATAGTGTAATATCAGTTTTGAGTTTTTCAGCTAAAATGGGTTAACAATGACATACATACACAAACAGGACACATATACATATGTAACTATGACGATGCAAAGTCGTACTAAAAGTTGAAAACTGACCTGACAAACAATTCTGCTAATAGACAAAATGGCGGGAATAAGTTATTGGTCGATAGGAAAATATGGATGTTAATCCAAGACCATATCTTGATAGTATTGATAATATTGGGGACGTGTTACATGTTTGACTTGCTGTCTGTTAAATTTCAGATGATCAGAATTGAAAGCTTTACACGTTGATGGTAACTTTTGAAATCCAGATGATAAGGCAAAGCTGTTTTTGACTTTACAACAGAAATGCGTGTACGTTGAACAAACCTGCAAAATAAAACAGAAGAAGACTTTTAGTGTACAAAAACGATTTAATTCAGTGTTTCAAAATTGTCTTACCTGTACATAATTATGTATATCCACAGGCACCCATCGCCAATGGCAATAAAAACAAACTAATGCACATAATCTATTATATATAATTAGTCTCTAATAAGCGGAAAAGTAATCCTTGTGAAATGTAAAATATATAGGTGTGAAACAGGAAAGAGTGTACAAATCTTGATATAATGCATTTTACACGTTGAAATGAAATAAAATAAATTACATCAAAATTCTTGTTGACGTTAAATAGGGGATGATTCGATTAAGAAACGTCCGACAGGTTCCTTTTTTGTTCCCGCCAGTAACTTTCCCGCTCTCAGCTTAATTCGGAAACCTCTTGCGTTAGTGCGCGTGTTCGACGGCCGAAGTGTACGCGTCTGAATCTATGCAAGAAAAGGGCAGTCTACTTGAATTCGAAACCCACCATTGAGCTGAATGACAGTAATTTAAGAAAATTGACATCCACAAGATTATGATGTATATATATATATAAAGGCAGTGACCGAAGGTAAGTGACCAGTAACGCCAAATGTAACTATAGGATCAGTTTCCGTGGAAACGATGAGACATAATCCGGTTGACGTGACGTCCCATAATTTCCTCAGACACTGCAGCAAAAAAACTAGCTTGATTAGGCAATATTCACGGTTTCATGTAAAGCAGTATACATTAAATAAAGTGTAGTCTCGTACATAGTTCACAGTTTTACCACGAAATTAGATTCAATAAGTCCGTGGTTTTACGTCTAATCAAAATAGTTACTTCCCTTCGTCCATAAAAGATGAACGTCCAGGACCAGAGATTGTATTGTCGTGGATGGGATATGTCAGATTAATTATATTAAGGCTCTCTCAGTTAAGTATTGGTATTTTTACCGATACAGAATCAATCACACAAGTGTCTGTCATTCTGTGTATTGGTATTTCTACAGACTGGTGAGGTGTTGATTTCTTGTGGTAGTCTGTCGCTGTACAATGGAGCTAATATAATTGCTAAACAACCATGTATTCCCACACAGAAAATTGATTGAAAAGCAAGTTCATCAACAGGTTATTTTGTCCAGGGAAGCATATTGTATCTATTACGATAAAGCTGTGATCTTGACCGATGCAGATCCTTAGTGTCCCAAACTGATCATTACTTGACCGCTAAGGTAACCTTGGGGTCAAGTGTGACCCTGAGGTCACTGTTTTGGTCTGTTCGGGGGGCCGTTAGTTGAGTCGCCTTACGGAGAATATTATTTTTGTCTCCAATTTCGACGACTGACACTTCGGGCATTAAGATAATGGCTGGTTCTCACCGGTGTGAATTGAGTGAGGTTGCCTTCATCACAACCAATAAACCGGCACATGTCTGTTAAAAACTAATCTTGGAGGTGACCATTCATTTCCCCCTGGCTTGGCCAAGTAATCAGAGTGGGTCACATTTCCACGGTGACAGGGAAATTGCCAAGTAAAGTTTGGTAAATATAGCATCTATGGTTTCTGGTGATTGAATGACTGTCATTATCTTTTATCATCAACATTTATCTATTTTTCTCAGTGGGAGATTTTTCCCAGATTAAATATATATTACTATGGAAACAAACTTGTTTCTGTAGAGGGTTGTGAAAAAATATATGAATGGAATTTTTGAATTTCTTCAACAGTCTTCCTCCAAAATTGAAGAACCCCAATTTATCTTCATGTTAAAACTACTTCCGGCCCTCGAAAAAGTCGGAAATTGGAGACAGAAATTATATTTTCTGTAAGGAGACTTGAAGGTTGACCGGCAGTGTTAGAGGGTGGAGGATTTAGCATTGCCCCACTTCCCCTCTTTAATAGCAGGTAAATTACCTAAATTTTAAGTTATCAATTGCATAACACTTAAACCCAGGAGAGGTATCAACAAAGTCTAGAAATTAAATTTGCATAAAAATAACCAGTGTGTCACCAATTAAACCAGTGGTACGAAAGGTTCAATGAATAATAAAACAAATTCTGATATGCATTTTTTTCTTAAAAATTATAATCAATACATGAACCATTCAAAATGTGGGCCAATGCCATTATTTCTGTTGTTATTTCTAATGTTCCAGGGTGTTATAGGGAATCATTCAACAGATAAGTTTACGTTACAGTTTAACACCTGGTTTAATAGATTTTGGTCGTCATCAGCCAAGGGTCAAAGGTCACGTTTGACCACTTTTAAAGTAAAAAGTTATGTATATAATAGGAGCAGAAAAATGCACAGGCAGACTTGTATTTGAACCTCGAACCCAGGCCTCATATCTCTAGACTGACGTTCTACTGATTGAGCTAACTGGTTGCCAACTAACATCCAGTCCAGTTCTTCTACATTCTTCCTCCTTTTTCCGAAGTCTTTGCTCCTGATGACACAACGATTTACACCTCAGGCACCCTTTGCCAAACATTCACCAAGTACTTGAAAAAGGGTTGGTAAGCTTGCCAATTTTGTAAAAGGAGAATGAGAAATGCATGGCCAGTCTGGAATTTGAACCTGGGACCCTCCGAACTCTAGATGGAGGCTGTACCAATTGAGTTACCTAGTCGCCGATGATCGAGGCAGTCTACTTGTACATCTATTTGTACATACTATCTCATGGCAAACCTCAACAGAATAAATGCTACACAATAACATATAAAGTAACATAAAGTTCTACACCTGATTTGGTGGTCATCTGTCAAGGTTAAATGGTCAAAGATGACATTTTGGTAACAGGGTAACTCTTCACTCGCAGGTTAACTTAGTGGTCAAGTAATGACTGCTTTGGTTTCATTTATATTTTTGGATTGTTTAACGAGCCGGCTATTAGACATGTCAAACCTCACAGGCTTTGGACACTAATAATATTTGGAGATCTAATTTGTTCATGTGAGTGTCATAGACATGTAGCAGGAGAAAGAAATGCATGGCCAGACCAGAACTTTAACCC